GATGGTGCCTGGGGGGGGGGTAACTTACATTTTTTGACCCCCTAGGGGGGTACCCTAAAATGTAACTTACTTTTTTGAGGCCCCCCCTCCCGGAAGTAGCTCAAGGGGGTAGGGATCTGCTACTGACATACGGTTTGCGCAAAACACTCGTTCACCCAAGCATTGTAACAGATTGTAACTACATCAACTGCAAAAAACTCGCCACCCGCTGTCCGGTTACTGCAAGCATGACTCTGGATGTACGGCGCGCTCCGCAACAAGACCAACAAAAGTGTTTGAGGGCCTCCCAAATGTTTTTGGCCGTTTCATGGGAGCAGGGGAACAATGACAAACACTGGATCTTTAAAGGATCCTAATAATGGCTTTGCTTTTTGGCGGCTCTTCAGAGCTCTGCCAACAAGCAGCTTGGACTGGCCTTCAAAGTTGCCTTTTTACCCTCGGCCAGCAGAATCTCAGCCTCCATGAAGTCTTTATCTGCCGCAGACGGAAACATATCGGCTGGGCATGCTTGGAGCCGCCCCATTCACGTCAATAATGGCGGTTCTCAGATACTTGTCTCATTCATCGTTTGCACGGGTCCAACTGCGCAGTGTCACTGAAACATCAAGCATTTCAACGAGAAATCCTGTCGACTTCACCACCGCGCCTGACTTGCCAGGGGGGTCTTTGGCAGGTGCCTTGGCTGGTTCGTTGACCTTGGCACCTCACATTCCAGGCGCACACCCCAAATGGCGGCTATGGCTATCAATCGCGCAGGGAAGTCGCCAAGACTGAAACAAACAATGGCTGAGCATACCAAAGCATTCAACAATCCAGTAGTGCAAGTCTCCCAGGCCTTTTCCAGCCGAATTAGCTGGCAACGCTTTGGCCAGCATATTCTTGGCACCTCGGTTCGCTTTCATCAGCTGATCACAACGTACTGGTGTGCAAGTGTTGGAAACGCCTGCCCTCCACAACTCGTGTTGACTCTGTTGCTTAATCAAGCCCCTTCTGCAATGGTTCCACCTCTCAATCTGAGGGTGTTTTATACATCAACAGTCACTCAATACTACCGCAGTGCCTTTGCCGTCTTTGCCTTTGCCCTTGGCGCCACTCCACGGGTCCTGCGGTCAGACCAAGCCAGCAAAAATACAAGATGGTCCCCAACCAAATATAGCTATTGGATGCTATTGGATGCTATTGAGGGGCACAGAAACGTCTACGTGATATGCAATGCATGATCTTTGGAAGCGGTGAAGCACTTCAAAGAGGCCTGCCGATTGTGCGGAGCACGGATGATGCATCAGGGGTGGTTGCTCTTTCTTCGCTACTTTCAGCAAGTCAATATCCTGCAGTATATACTACGATCCTGCATTGAGTCTTGGTGAGCCCAATGTACGTCGGATCATGGTTCCCCTAGTTACAACATGCACATGGTCGTGCACACCGCTGTGTTGGCACACCTGTGTGGGCCGTGCACGTGCTGTGGCTCAGCTCTTTCCCCCAACAAACATCCGTATATCTGTCTAGACTAAAGTACTAAAGGGCTTGCAATGCACATTTGGGGGAGTGCGTGAAATCTGAGACACAATGAACATCGACAACTGCAAGCAGTGGAAGAGCATTCTATTACAAGAACATAAAGTATTCCCGGTATTCGTTATTTTTTCGCATGAAACTTAATCTTGCACCAGCATCGTACATCAGAACAACACAAGGCCGTCCTTGGATGGATCTGTCCAGGGATCTTCTCCTTCACCTGTCAGGGCCGCCCTTTAGCAAGGTTGTATCAAGGTGTCTGGGTCACACAGTCTGAAATCCTTTGAAGAGCATGACCACATGCACACACATGTGGCGCCTGCGCCGCTAGCGGTTCCTTTGGATTTGAGTTCATAAGCTTTCGCTGTGACTCTGCCTTGGGGCTAAATCTTGGAATCCTGTGGGGAACATGTGTCTGCATGAGTCAAGAAGTTCATTGAGTTCCTGGCTCCCCCGCAAGGTGATGCAAGGCCTCTCACCATGAGCAAAAGGACCAAAAACCACATGGCTTTAATATGTTTTCATATGTCGAATGCAATGTGCACCTGGTGGTTGGATCGCCCGTCCTTTCGAAGTCACTCAGCCTGCGGCTAAAAGCTGTGGATGAAGGATGCACATTGTCTTACAAGATGATACCAATTCCAAACCGCTCAAGGATCCAAGAATATACCGTACATGCAATCCGTGGCAAGTCACAGGCTGCAAGCCCGTCAGGCCTGTCATATGCGTAAAACATGAAGCTTTGGCAACTTGTTTAACTATATATATATATGTCAATGATTGTCCATGTGATCTTGTGAGAGACAAGGGCCCTTGCAGCCCTTGAAAAAAGAACAAGGTGTTTCAAGAAACCTGTCAGTGAAGGGTGCGCAGGCGTGTGTAAACGCAGAGCACGATTGGTGTTTCTAGCGGGTGGGACAAACGTGGACAGTTTGGGTTGTTTTCTGGAACGTTAATTGTGAAAAAAAAACCTACAAAACAACCATAAATTGCCAACGTTGTTGGTTTCGTAGAAGGTTAAAAAGGTAGAAATGTGTATAAATTAGATTATATACACAGGTACATATCCTATTTTCTGGGTTTCCGACACGCATGTTTTAAATTGGCCAGCGTTTTTTAAAAGGTACTCGGCATTACTTCGAACCCAGCGGGGGTGTTGAATGTGAGGGCGTCTGGACTTGCAAGACAAAAAATGCAAAGAATGAACATGGACAAAATGGATGGAAGAAGGGCCGCCAACGTCGGACGCCTCTCGTCCTCCAAAAGCCGTGACAGGGAGTGGTGACCAAAGACGGTCTCGCTCAGCTCCTGGAGTGGCTGAGAACCATTTGATTGACACGGTGAAACGGCAAGAAATGTCACAAAGTGCCAAAGTGGAAGGAAACAAGAACGACACAGCAGCTGCCCTCAGCCTGGACACGGCCACAGTGATTTCAGTGATTCCATCACATGACCGAATGCTCTCATACCATCTCACAACAAAACACTCCAAAACACCTTGAACAGCCTCAAAACACACACTCCAGCATAATTAGCATGTTTGAGCGGTTTACATTCAACCCGCATCTTGGCATGTCAAACATCCAACCGCTGTCATTTGTCCAGAACTCGTCCTTCCGCAGTTTGGAACGACACTGCAGTTTCACCTGGGAGATCTCAATCTCTTGCCTCGGGCTCATGTAGATGAGCTTGCCTGGGCTGCTGTGGATACATCTCCAAGTATCACAAAAATGCGACAGTTCACACACACACACACACACCGAGGGCAGAAGGGGCAACAAACATCCGCGAGTTCCCGCGAGTTGCACACTTGCAAGCAACGCCCTGCTCATCAAAGCTGCGAAGGCAGTCTCGCAGATCTTCCCAGGTCTCGATGAATGACTGGCCAGGAGCAATGCCCGGCAAAGAGAGAAACACGGTGATCTTGGACATTGTAATCCATGTCTATATCTGCGCGCAATACTTAGGACAAAACATGACAAAACAGCTAGTGTTTTCAAGGGCTATGTGGGTCAAGCACATGCTGATGGAGAACAGTCAACAATTGTTTACGTTCTGGGGGCACCTTTTGGTAGAAGGGAGTGGGGGTGAGCAACTCCATGCGAATATAAGAGTTATATATCTACTGTATGTCTATCCATGTGTATCCATTTGTCGCTTTCCTTAAAGGCTTGCTTAACTGAAGGGTTCCGGATTCGCCATAAGTGCCATTCAACGCCTCGTTTGATTTGACACCTGTGGGCTTGCCAGCTTCAGCATTGGAAAATCTTTCGTACTCTTCCTCAGGTCGCAGTCTTGCAGTTGTGCGAACTCCGATCACAAATCTATCTCTGTTGGGGCATGGCTGATTTTTCATGCTCACTGCTCACTTATGAAGTTAAGCTCGATTATAGTACCGTGCTGTATTTTGGAAAATATTAAGACAGTTTATTGAATGGAAGATCCATTTTTCGAGGAAAATCCAGGCAACAGCAAATGGAAGAAATACCCTGTAGCATAAAGTAGGTGTTCAATTTCTTCCATTTGTACTAAAGGCTTGCTCTGTCATTAGAAAAACTGACAGAAATGGCAGGGAGAGACTGTTGTTTCCACGCGTGCACGTCGCCTGATCTGAAGAGGAGAATAACCTAATACTTTCCGAAACCTTTATTGGTTGTTGGTTTGTTTTTCCTTTTGCTTCCTGGCCGTATTTCTTCCATTTGGTTTCTAATCTTCACCTCTGATCAGTAAATCGGCTCCAGTCTCTCATGACTTCAAATAGTCTGAACTACTGTTTTAGCATTAGTAGTATTGGCATTTATTTAGAGAGGTTTATTTATCATAGGTTGACACTACATATAGTACCGTGCTGTATTTTGGAAGACATGATCTGCAAAAGGAAAAGGAAAGGACAAGGAACAGGAAAAGGAAGGGACCAAATCAAAAGCAACAAGACCTGAAGAAAAAAGGAAAGACTTTGACCAGCACAAGGAGGATAAAGAAACAATGACTATACATCCTTCTCCTTGTCCTCTTCCTTTTTCCCCTTCCTCTTCCTTTCCTCTTGTTTCCTCTTCCTTTTCCTCTTGCGCTTCCTTTTCTCCGTCCTCTTCCTCTTCTTGTTCTTTTTCCCCTTCCTCTTTCTTTTGCTCTGCCTCTTCCTCTTCCTCTTCTTCTTCCTTTTCCTTTTCCTTTCCCATTCCTCTTCCTTTTCCTCTTCCCTTTCCTCTTCTCATCCTTTTCCTGTTCCTTGTCTTCCTCTTCCCCGCTTCCTCGTCTTTTTCCTCTTTCTTTTCTTTTTCTTCTTTCCCTTCCTCTTCCTTTTCTTTTTCCCCTTCCTCTTCCTTTTGCTCTTCCTCTTCCTCTTCCTTTCTGTTTTCATTTTCCCTTCCTCTTCCTTTTCCTCTTCCTCTGCTCTTCCTTTTCTTGTTCCTTGTCGTCTTCCTCTTCCTTCCTCTCTTCCTTTTCCTTTTCCTCTTCCTTGTCTTCTTCCCCTCCCTCTTCCTTTTCCTTTTCCTTTTCCCCTTCCTCTTCTCTTCCTGTTCCTTGTCCTCTTCCTTTTCCTTCTCCTCCTCTTCCCCGCTTCCTCTTCCTTTTTCCTTCTTCCTTCTCTCTCCTTTTCTTTTTTTGACAGGAAAACCACCTGCAACCATTCAAATGGAAGAAATCGGAACATGGATATGGCTCCGGGTACTTCTTCCATTTCATCTGGCCTCGGGCCATTTTCCGACCCCACATCAAATGGAAGATCGGGAACTTGTTGGTGCAAATCATTTCTTCCAAAATGCAGCACGGTACTATAAGTTGTATTATATTACAATTATAATGTGGCTTCTGTTGTGCGTGAGTCTGGCAACCTTTCGAAGAAAGTCAATTGACAGCTGCAGGATTGAATCCTCACATTGCCGCCAGGGTTCAGATTCCTTGTAGGGCACCAAAGCACCATCTCGAAGGCCCAAGAGTTTGGATTTATTGGCGGAAATCTCAGCTGCGGCAAATGGAAGTGGTTGCCAAGTGCTTGCAACATTAGAACTGCCTATAGCCACTGCAATGGAATAAACACGCATCACTGGTGCTGGGCTCTGTGAGAAGCAGCATGGATTGGATGTGGTGCATCTGAAACACCATTCCTGGTCATGAGATCCTCGCCATAACGACTTGCAGCAATCGCCCGAAGGTAATTTCACCTCGATCAACTTCTGGCTTCATCCGAATCATCCAGTTTCTAGCTGTTGTAAGAAAAGCCTGGAGGCTTTCCGATCTATGGTAGCACCACTACCAACCATGTCGAACTACACCACATGAGCCTTGCTTCTGCGCCAAGCTGCTGAGAATTTCGGACCTTAACAAATCACAGAGTGCGAAGTCCAGGAGTTGTCCCTACGCAAGGCTTCCACAACTAATGCAATGAAAGCGGCTGATCCTGTAGCCATGCTGCGACCGAGACATTTCTGGCATGAAGGCCAGCGAGCAAAAGCGGAAAGCCAAACGACAGCAGCACCATGACACCAGCGCTACTGTATTAAGGCATCAGGAATTCAGTTCTTGGTGCAACATTGCCGCACGCCTAAAAACGACTACATCGTCTGCTGCTTTTGGCATCAATGGACCGCAATGGCCGATGAAGTGACCTAGGTCCAGCCTGACGCCAGAATCCGTACACTTTGGCCATCCTCCTTTCGCGAGGCATCGGCGAACCTCCTCGCGAACAACCAGGATGACTCAGGATGACCCTGTTTGGCAGCTTTACCAACCACAGTTGAGCTTGACACAAAAGCCTTCCAAACGGTGACATCTACATACACATACATAAATACATGTGTATACATATATATATATGTTTTAAACAAATCTGCCGACCCCGGTGCTAAAGCAATGGGGAGCGCGAAAAGAGAAAACGTGGGCCGGCACCATCGCCAACTGAGGTTTGGCACTGGTAGGATTCATGTTGGAGGCATGATAGCATTGGGGGAAAGCTGCGGCAAACTCAAAGAGTTCACTTATTTTTGTTCTGCAATACGTGCCAAACAAACACATCTCACCAAGTCTCAACTGTCCTCCCAAACATCCGGCGCAACAATATCCTGATGCTCCACGGTGCATGGCCCAAAATGATGCCGTGAGGCCAGTAGCGTTCACACCATGAATATGTTTTTTAAACAGCATGTCACACATGGACTCCTCGGGGTTCGCATTTTCCTCTTCTTGGACAAATCCGCGGAAGCTGGGTGGTGGAACCTCCAAAACTGCTCGGAAGTTCAACCTGCACGCAACTTGCCAACGCAATCATTGCACATGTCCAGTCCAAACGGTTAAGACGATTAAGAGCGAAAACCAGTCTGTTTGGGGCACCTGCGTTTGGCCGCGCCTTCTGGACCCCGGCGGGTCTAAAAAAACGCCCGGCGTGGATTCAATCAAAGCAACCTCCGAGAGCAGTCTGAGACGGAGAACAGGGGCGAGGAGTCAAGGGATTCCTTGAGTTTGTTGCACGGTGTTGTTCCTCTCTGGAGATGCTGGTGGGGAAGCCAAGCAACAAGAAAGGATCTGGACATATGCAGCCAAGCTGCAAGCTGCTGCTGTGTCAACTTCACTCCGGTGAGAAGCTGCCAATACCTTTCGAAAGTTCATTTCAAGAACATATGCCAAGTCTTGATATTCACCACACACATAAATCGGTGAGGAATTTACACTGTGACTGTTCCTTTCCCGGGATGTGTTCGTGTAATTGCTATGCAGTTTTGCATTGTAGTTAAGTTATCCACGGCAAACATGCAATAGATAATCAATATTCTATATATTGTGCTTTGGCATCTGAAGCAAAAGCAACACAAGAACAAACTATAGTGAGAATCACGTCACCACTGCAAAACCGCCCCACGCGGGATTGCTTCATCCACATAGAGTGAACACACAATCCACCTCAAGAGACCCTGCCAGGCGCTGCTGTCACCGGAGCAAAGCCAACCAACCCCAATCAAGTCTTCCATGTGCAGTTGAGGTGTGCCAAACATATTTCCTCAATCTCTGCATTTGGGGCTGCTGTTGACAACTGACTGAGGTGGTGTAAAAAAAACCTCTACCTTTCCCTATACCACTTTTGACGTCATCGTTTCTTTTCCTGCTTTATCGTTTTACAGCACGTTGACTAATTGCACCAATTGTAGTGTGTGCACTGCATGCATGATATGCATGTGGTGTGTGGAACCTTGCAGACATGAAGACATTAGGCTCGCTGTGTTATCTTTTATGTTATCGTTTTGTTACGTATCGTTTTCATGCCTGCTGCAAGTTGGAAAAGCATGTGGCACGACAATGCTGTAGCACAAGGTTACAGCGGTCCACACTTGTCACATGGTTTTGCGCAAGAGTCACCAGGGGTTATCGTTGTCTTTTCTTCCTATATCCTTTTACAGGGGATTGAGCATGCTTCCAGAAAAGAACGGACATGCGAATACTATATAATTTCTTACATGATTGTTTTTGTTTGTAGTCTTTCAACTGCTCTTCTCTGGACTGAATAGTGGCATATAGAGACTGGTCTTCAACTGCTCGTGCAAGAGTTGTCACAGTTGAACAACGTTTGAATGTCTGAGTTTATTATATATTCGCGTGGCCCAATCCTCAAGACATGGAAACACACACACACATACGTCACGCTCTATTGCATAGCAGTTGGCCACCCAAAAAAGACTCTGCAAACATCTGGTTGGACAGCACTGGAAAACGGACAGCGCTGCCCACCAAGCCAAAAGTCTCAATCCTCGCCTGTGGGGTCAATGGACTTTCTTCATCCATCAGCAGCAAACAATTGCAATTGCTTAGAGGATCCCTGGTGTGCATGAAGGAGTTAAGACTATCAGCGCGAAACACAGGCTTCTCCATTTGTTTGGTTGGTCCATACTGTTGGGGGATGAGAAGTGCTGGTTTTGCTGACAGGCATTGCTTTCCTGTTGCGACTTGAGCCTCGAGTCAGTTTACAGTAGACTCAGCAAGGCTCAGCAGCTCTAGCTCCGGCACCGTTGGATCCAAAAACCTTCTGCGAAATCCCAACCCTCCTAACCGCGGTTCTACTGTTCTTGACATGGAGCTTGGATTTTGGTAGGGTTCTGTGAACAACTCGGCAAACTCTCATCATTGGCCTCAGGCACAGTTTCCATCAGAACTACCCTACGGATCTGTACAGAGCTTTCTTTCAACCCTGCTTGTGAGGTTGTGTCCACAAATTGTGGTGACCATAGAAACAGATCGGCAACCCAACGACATACACACAACGAGCAGCGGGATGTGCACTTGTTTCTCTTGGCGCTTAGGCTGAGTCCCGCTCAGCGGGATCAGTCAGGAAGGGGGCGCCACCCATAAGTCCTGGTGACGGGCGGCGCGGGTGGAGCCTTTTTGGCGTTTCGATGCCGAAAAAACGACCACGAGGACGTGGGCCCCAAACAAGCCTCTCTCGTTTCATCTCGTTTCTATATCATGCCCCGTTTGGGGCCGGGGAAGCGTCGAGGGTCATTTCGAGACCAATTCTTGCATCAAGGACGTTCAAATGAACCGTCGTGATTTTGAGAGGGGCTAGTCGGTCACTCAGCAAAACAAGCAGAAACATCACAAGTCGAAACTCGACCGTGCCCGCTGCCTTTTCCTCTGCTCATTGCTTTGCAAGCTTTCCTACAAGACAGGAGTCAACAAGCTTGCGACGAATCTACTCGAAGTAGATCCCAAGGAAGATCCAGGAGACGTCCAAACGAATCCTCTCCTGGTTTGAGATACCTTGCTAGCTTCCAGCTGCTGTTCTCTTGCTCCCAAGTGGCAACTGGCAACAAAGACTACGGAGGTGCGGGCCAATGTGGGCCATGCATTGTGAGAGAACAGCAAGCTGTCAAAATGTGTAACCAAAGCCCATGCTTTGGCCACCACGGCTCTACAACACACGCATTATCCAAAAGGGCCGCCGGGCGACCACGAACTTCCACCCTTGCAGCCCTTGCAGCTGACAAGCTAGGAAAAGTGAACTAGATTGACCCTTGCCAATATCTCTAATTAGATGGAAACTGTGAACGTCTCCTCCACCATCTCACACTTCATCAGCTTCATGGCGCCTCGGAGACTCAGGACTTTCACTTCTTGGCCCAGATAGTGCAGCACATCCTCATGGGATCCATTCCTGTTTTCCCGCCTCGCGACCTCAAAGGCGCTGAGCCCTTTCGAGTTCTCCTTCTCGGGGTCCGCACCCGCGGCCAAGAGCAAACGGACCAGATCGACATCGCCATAGATCGCAGCCACATGGAGCGGGTAAACGGAGTCACGCTGAAACAGGCATCCCAATCCACCAGATCTGGCTCGATGCACATCCTTGAAACCATGTGTTTTCAGGAACTCTTCGAGGTACACTTGGCGATACAGCTGCATCTGGCGGCGCCGTTCGGAGCGCACCAGACCGGCAGAAGAGTTCTTCGGTTCCATGAGGGGCGGCTGTGACTCCCCTTGAGTCTTTTGAGCCACCTGCGTCTTTTGAGTATATACATTCATGTGCTCCCCAAGTCTCCAAAAACGAAAATGACACGGATTCCACTGCTTACCTTCCATGAGCTGGAACCCGTGGCCCTTCACCACGGATAGAAATCTCCTTGCAAAACAGTGACTTACAATACTTACAGGAGTCCCAGCCATGTTAATTTGAGGAGGGCTGGGGACCTTCCAGTCCTGCATTGGTCTCTTCCAGCAGCACTTGCCTGGCCAAACATGCTGAGTAGTGATGGCTGAGTCTGCCAGAACACGCTGGAGCGTCGTCTTCTCAAGCTGCTCCATCATGTCTGAAGTCATTGTGCAAAAAATACCTGCCGGCCTGTTCTGCAGTACAATTTGGGTGTCTTCAAGGCCCTTCATGGAAATCACCTTTGGCATCGTTGTCTGGTTAGGAGGCGCCTGAGGTCTTCTGTCCATGTTCGCTTGGTAAGGCGCAATGTTCTACAATTCCGTGATCCAAGCCAAATGCGGTGAACCCAAACTGACAGAAAGAGTTTTAAGCTGCGAGGCTCTCCAGCGCTTCCAGCTGCGCATCTGAGCCTCAAAGCGTTTTTGTCTGAGCCATGTAAGCCTGCTGTAGCTTGCCCAATAAATGCAAAAGCTCTGATTTCCACTCACACTGAACGGGGTTGTACTCCTGCACCTGAACCGATCCAAAAAGGGTCGAAGCGGGATGGATGTAGGAAACAAGTAGTCAATTGATCAACAGGGGTCGAGCGCACTTGCCCTCAAAGCCGGGGCTGAATGTCCACAAGGGAAAGCCATGTCCCTTCTGAAAATTCCGGTGAAACTTCTAAACCTGCCAAGTGCCTCTTGCAAACATCCGGCTCACAACGACCTGATGTCCGGCGCATCTAGGTTGAGGACACTTCTAACCTCTGAAGCTTTGGACCTTAGTCCAACCGGCACAGTTGCAACCGCGCAAACTCTTTACCACTGCGACCATCTAAGCAATTAAGCTATTGCACAAGGAGTCTCAAACATGTTGTGTCAGGAGTGAGGTGTCGAAATCTATGAACATCATGCCATTTCTCCGCCTAGCCTTCTGTGCCTTCGCACGGCACAAATCTGAGGCGCTGGCTTCCGAGAAGCGAAATTGCTGCCCTGGCGACGACACCATCGTCGACCATTCCAACGACTCAACAGTGCGCTGCAACAGCGCGCTGCGGGAGGCGTATTAGCTCAGCCTACAGCTGAGTTTCACCACTGTGCGATTAGGATAAGGATAATTGGTCTGGGAGTGTGGCTTCGGCGTTCTACGTCACAACAACCTTTTAAGAGAAAATACATGACTTCTTTGCAGTGCCTAACCGCGCCGCGCATTCACATGGTCAAGTTCGATACCTCCATCTCCATCTCCGTCAGGTGGCACCTGCTACAATTGCAGCTGCCACACCAAGAGACGATGTATCGTCGGTCGAGATTTGATCTACCAAGATCACCTCTTCCAAGGCGAAGATGGCCGGGGTCTTTGTCTCCTGCCAGAATGTGCTTCCGGCCAACTGGTGATTGAGGCTGCTGAAAGCATCTGAAAGCCCTGCTAAAGAGTTTGCCCCAGGCTTGAAACCAAAATGTGTCAGAAAGCATGCCACAAATTCGGTCACCCTGTGCATCTGCTGTCATGCCTTTCCCTGGTAGAAGGTCTTGAGACTTTGCCATGGCCTTGGTGCAAAACTGGTCATATTTGCGAGAACTAGTTCAAAATTGCTGAGCATTGTCTACTATATGTATATATATATATATGTGTGTGTGTATGTGTTGCATTGTATTCTCGTACATTCTCGCCGATGTGCCTTGGTCAGCAAGGAGATAAGCAGGAAGTATGTAAACAATCAAACTTTCAGTTTTGAAACGTTGATGTACGGATATGTACGGCATACCGGATGTCAATATTAGTATCGAGTTGCGGCATCTTTGTCCCCCTCCCACTCAGCATTGGGCAGTCAGATCTGGAGGAATTCCTCCAAATGCAACAGTGGCATAGAGTGACCACCTGCAGCCATCTCCTGAAATCACCGAGCCTGGATGACACCGCACGTAGCCGGGGTGTGTGAACTGCGGCCTGCGGCGCCGTTCCGTTTCAGCTCCGTTCGACCGGTTTCGGTTCTGGAGCTCTTGGGTCACAACCACCGAGGGGACCAAGTTAAAGCGACTCCCAGCTCACACGAACACACAAGCAGCAAAGCATTTGCCAAGCAGCATTCAAAACAAATATACGGCCACATGATCCCAATCTGTGCTGCAGTTTCCGTGTCACACGAGGCAGAACTTTCTGCTCTACTTCCCTCCTCTCACGAGCAAGTTGGGCTTCCAACTCACAGCAGCCGGTGGGGGCGAGTGTAGGCCAGAGGTGCAACGAGTGAGCCAAACAAAGCCGTCGAATTCCAATTCAACTTCGCGAGATCTATCCGCCTATCCGCCAGAAACCACTGGTCTACGACAAAATTGCTGGGTTGTCCTTGCCCTCTCTCGTTCGGTGTCGGAACAACGTCGTTTCTCACAGAGTTCCACTTCCTGAGCTCAGGAACTTTGACACTTCCACTCGACTCATTCCAAAGAGTGATTCGAAGGAAGAGGCTCGCCATTCCATGTTCGAAGCCAACACCGACATGTGACATAAGCAATCAATATATATAAACCGTTCAAGCTCTTCAGCCGTATCTTTGCCTCTCAAGTGCAACCGTCCTGTCAAGTCCGCCAAGTCAATGGAGTGAACCGTCCTGTCCTCGCGATATCCACCCATTCCTCTCCGCAAAAACTCACATGCGTGCTGCGTAAGAAGGTGTCCAACAACGCGCAGTGCACCCATCGGGCAACGGGGACGTTGTCTGCCTTCATGAGGGCCCACTTGTCAGCACTACCGGTCTCAAAGTAGTACCTTGCCCAACTAAAAGCATGATGTTCTTGTTCCTTTATGTTCCCTCTCCTCCAGTTTCTCTCCTTCTGTCTCTCTCTCTCGCCAGGGTTGCTGTTGGCTGGTGCTGCATTCCCAGCCCTGGGAATTCCTTACTTTTTCTTAACATCGTTTTCATAGTGATAACATTGCCATCAGCTGCTCATCTGTCACAACATTGTCATCGGTTTCGACACATTGTCACCGGCGGTCACACCATTGTCATCGAATGTGGTAATAGCATAATCGGTTTCAGAACATTATCGTCGGTTCCAGAACAGTGTCCCGGCTAAAACTCACAGCATTGTCATTGGATGTCATTGGTGTCATTTTAGCCCCTTTTTTTGTTATCTTATCTTTGCATCTTCCCTAGCTTTGGAATTTCTCACGGGCCGCACATGGACACTTTGGTGCTTATATATTATACTTATACTTATACTGCTTATGTGTGTGATTGCATTGTAAACCCTCCTGCCTGCGCCGTGTACCAAAAATTAACAGAACACGACGTTGTGGAGGTGTCTGTTTTCCCAATGTTCTAGTCTTCTTACAAATTTACTATCTACGCGCTGGAGGTATTCTTATTCAAGGATAAAATGTAGGAGGATACTGTCGCATCACGCGCCACATCACAGTAGCAGACATCGCATAGACATCGCAATGTCGCCATCGTCGCAGACATGGACCGCAAAGAGTTTCCCAAAGGGGGGGGGTCGACAAAAAAACAAATTGGTGGTCTTGATTTGAGGCAGCGCCAATTCTTTTTTTTGGCCGACCCCCCCCCCGAAACGGAGAGCGTACTGAAGAATCAGAAAGGAAAATGCGCAAGGAAATGGAATAGGACAATCCTGATGAGACCTCATGTGTTGAAGGGGATTTATGCTGAAAGGTCCAAGTGGGAGACAGAGATTCTGAAGCATCAGCAAAGCACAACAGCAGATGAGAGAACGCAAAAGAGTGGATTGAGCAAAGGGAAGAAAGCATCAGGTGGGAACCACATGAGAGTCAGGGCATCAGGTGGGGGTTGCCAAGCAACAATTCCCCCACTTGGTTGGTGAGGTTAAGACATGGTTGGAAAGGGAAAGGAGTTATGGGCATGGGGTGCAGAAGATGGATCTTGCATGGAAATATTTTCAGCTGCTATCAGTGGAGAAAGTCAAGCTTGAGGAGAAAAGGGATGAGCTGGAAGATGGGCCCCAGAAGATTCTTTGTATCAATCAATTGGAAAGGACTGAATCCCAAATGAAGAGCATCAAAGAGGGGTATAAGCAAAGGGACAGGAGGGCCAAGATGCTATGGATGCTATTGGTGCCAAACATATGACTCCAAACGCGTTGGCGCCCATGAGCAATGAGGAGCAGCAGATTTCAGCAGAATTGGCATGGAACCACCATGACTATATCATGAGGCTTGTGTCCATGGGGCATGAAGATCTGAAGGAATTTGTGGCAAAGCCTGAATGTATGCTTGGATTCTCAGATCAGGTTCCTGTATGGATGAAAAAGGGATCAACTAAGGCTGTATTTGCAGGCCATGAGACCAGGACACATGGGAAGACCATCAAAAAGATTAGGGGGGACCTTCAAGATGATCTGAACCAACAAGCCCATGAGACAGGAACCCAATGAGGACCTTGAGGCATTGGATGATCAGACGAAGCAAGATTGGCAATTGGTGACCACTGAGGATCAAAAGGGTGGGGGAAGAGCTCATTTGACTATCATGACGGACTCAGCAACTGAGAAGATGAGGATTACCGTTGAGGCCCATCAGCTGGTGAGCAATTTCTTCAACCCTGATGAGGACCCCATTGGACATGTGGGCAAGGGGGCGCTCATAGTATCTGGGCAACATGCAAGATTGGACAACACTGATGACAAAGGCAGGTGGATTGAGGATGAATCATTTAACTATTTGGGAGACATCAAGCTGCATAGGAAGGGAGAGAGTGCCAGGAGGGAATTGGAGCAACGGGTCAAGATCAAGAAGGGGTCATCCTCATTTGTTGGAGCACTATGATGTTTATTCCCAACCATCCTCCAATCAGGACAATATCATTATGTCATGGGTCATTGCAAAGCAAGGGAGGATGTATCCAGTATCCATCTATCAGAGGGATTGCTTTGCTGCTTCATTTAGCGATGATACATACAAGAAGATGTATGCAGTCCATCAGCTACAGTCTATCATTTCTCCAAAGATGACAGCTATGATGCAATTCACAGATACAGACTTTAGCTATGTGTTTAAAAGCTTGATGAGGAAATCTGTTGATAAGATCATGGCAAAGGGGCAGCAGGCTATGGGCACAAGTGATGTGTACCAGATGGGTGAATGCAACGAAAACATAGAAAATCTATTGAAAATCATAGAAAAACGCAAAAAACACTGAAAAAACACACACCTCCAGGGCGTCGTACTCTCAAGATTAAACATGCGCCGCAGCAAGGCATTTTGCTTGTGCTGCTGGTGCAATTGGCGCAGCCCACAAAAACATAATTGTCCAAAAAACGCGTCACAAAATGTCGCAACTTTTGGGGCCAATGTGTTGAAAACACGCAATGACCCGCACCAAAGCATTTATATAATTGTTGCCTTTCAAGAGCACAGGGCCGCGACTCAGGCACATTAATTTTGATGTTCAATATCAGCGCCCGCAATGGACAAGCACAAGCGGATGGAAATCATTAGCCATCACTACGTAGCTAGTTAGAGCTCAAGGACCTGATGAGAATCAAGTGCATGCATTCCACATGGCAAGGATGCTGTGCATCTGGACAATCACGTGGTGCGAAGTGTATACTGTAAGTGTAGCTCTGGTCAAGTACTCCTGACTCCTTGTGTTGCTCTGCCATCACTAGTAGCTCCGTAGAATGGTGTAATCGCGCAATATCAAACAAAGCTATGAATGCAGAGTACTTTACGCAGTGTGTACTTGGCCTACCTTGGCCCGGAACCATGAACTTACCCTCAGCCTCTTTCAGAATCTCGAGCTATTCTTAGAAACAATTTTGTTGTGTTTACCTCTGTGCTCATGGGCGGGGAAACACTTGAACATCGAGTGCAGTGCACAAACATGTTGCTGAAGTCCACAGCTCCTGGAAACCATCACACAAAGCCACAATTCTAAAGGCTTAGGCTCTGCATCGCACGGCAAGTCTAGCAACGTCTTCTGGCAGTAAAGGGTCCCATCTGGAGAAGGAATCAGCCATCATAGCACGGATGCTCTTTCGCAATGTCTGCCACATTGGATCTTCAACGGAATCGGTCGAAAGATCATGCAGGCCCCATGCAAAAAAGTTCACCACTTCCTATAGCCTGTGAGAGCCCGTGCCTTGACTGGAGCAAGAACTCATCATGTTCCTGCCTGGAGGTCAAGCGGAAGTCCAGGAACTTCCTCAGTCAACGACGCCAATCCAACAGAACTATATACCTCGCTTGGCCGGATTCCGCGCAGGAGAACTTACGCAGCAAGGAAGGTGATAAAAGAAATGAAAGGTGCCCTTAGAGTCAATCATAGTCAATCAAGGAGCAAGGACGCTACTAGGGGCCTGGCCTTACTACTAGGAGCAAGAAGCTACTAGGGGCTCCTGGCCTTACTACTAGGAGCAAGGACGCTACTAAGGGGCATGAAAGGTGCCCTTAGAGTCAATCCCCTACTTGCACTTCCTACAAGAAGAATTAAGTTTGGCAGGCTTGCCACCAAGTTGTTGGCACAAGAGGTTGCCCAAATATGTGCAAAGTCACGCCAACGGCTGGCAAATGGCGTTGCACTCGAAAGGGTCCAGGAGGCCTTCGTGTTTCAGCTCAGCATGCAAAAACGATCAAAACATCGACATCACATCCTTGCAAACAAACTCTTTGTTTCCACGGTGAAGTGTTCTGTGTTTCTATAGATCTGTACATGTGTTTCACCTCTTAAGAGAGCAGTCGTTGTCCTGCCTGATCATTGGCTCCTCATAGATGTACACTCCGCATTTTCTGATCTCTTCAGCGGCTCGTGCGCAGAAGTCCTCAACAACAGCCAAACGGAATTGCTTCATGTCAATCATCAATCTTCCATCCTCAAATCTCAAGGATGGTTCAATTCATCTGTTCCTTGCCCTAGCGCAGCCATCCAAAGGTCAAACAATTTGAAGATATTCGAAGGGTGGGTCCTCAGTCACCACATGTGTCGCATGTCGCGCCATGTGACCATGTGTTCTCAGCTCCTAATTACACCTTTGGCCCTCCGATGCCGGGCTCCTCGTACTTCCAGGAGCTGCCGGGCGGCCGCGTCAAGCTGCGGACCTGACGCAGCTACCGCCGGGCCCGGTCACCACGGGTTCGGTCCTGGGCTCCCGGCGGTCACCTTCCGCGTCACCTCACCGGAAGAAAGCAAGGCAATCAGCTGGGAGCAGCATGTCTAGAGTCTACATCTGGGATTTCTGGCAGAAATCATAGGAACAGCGCATGTGGGTATCGTGCTTCCATCTTCATTTGAGATGTCTTGGCCGTCGTTTCTCACTCCGGTGTCTTGCAATTGTCTTGACCTTCTGCACGCCATTCTGCAGGAATGGACATGAGGTACGGTAAAAATTCATTATGCACGCATATGTGCGCTATTACATTTGGACCTTTGTTAAAGGGTAGAGGCCATCGCTATTGGGATGGAGGCCATTGCAACCTTGTTAGAGGCGCGCAAAACTAACATGAACCGGGGGAGGCCACCCAGAATTCTAGGATCAAATGGTCCACGGTAAATCTGGCCCTGACTGATACCAGGGCCACACACGGTTATCAACCGGAGGTTTGACTGCTCGCAATGTCCTTTGACGCTTTCTTTAAGTGCTTTTTGTTTCCGCTTGCCGAATTTCGCCGTAGATGCCCCATGAGATGTCCTTGGTCCCGACATGGTTGCTCAATGTTGCTCATAATTCTGCTGTGCTCCACCATTCAATGCTTTTCAGGTGACGCACTGACGCTCCTTCGCACCAAGCAACATGCCAGCGACAGAAAGTTAACTATACTGCTGTACGTATCATATATATGCAGTCCTTTGCATATTGCAGCAAGCATTTCGTGTGGGAAAGTGGGAAGCAGGGCAGAGTGCCTTTTTAGAATTATGTTGCAGCATTGGTCCAAGGTCGGCGTTTTAAGGAAAGGCAGTGGAACCCGGTCCAATGCATGTCTACAGTACGCATATTTTCTGAATATGTGTTCAAGGGCCTTCAACCTTTATATAATGGTTGCGATTGCATGGCATTCATATGCTGGCATGCTTCAAACATCTCCAAACCCTGGCAAACTTCAAAGAATGATGCTCCGGGGGAAAAACATATCGTTGACAAAAACAATATGTTCCAATTTAGTTCCATGTTAGTGCCAGGGTGCAAAAGTGCATGTTTGGCACGTTCCATGTTGATCTCGCAGCATCCCGTCTCTCCCTGAAAATCTTTCATAGTCTTCCTCGAACAGTTGTCCTGCAATTTTCGGATCTGGCATGATCTCGCCGTTTCGCCTCGAAAAAACTGCCTCCCTACCCAATCGAGGATCGAATGACATATGCACACCGGGTTTCCCCGCCAGGTTTGTCAGAATGTGACGGGGCACTGGTCCACAGTTTGTCTTCTTGTAGTCACTGTCATGTTTTGGAATCGCTCCCTGAGTCAGAGGATATAGCTATCAGGAAGGCGGATATCTTGTGGCGTTCCGCTGCGCGGCAAGATGAAGGTACGAGGCACACAAGTGAGAAAAAACAGCAAAGGACATCCAAGGGGCCGACAACGTTTGGAGATGCCACCACTGCTGGATGGCCGGGGAGTGTGGCTGGAGTGCGTGGCTTATGTGTTTGGGGGCAGCTTCAGCTTCACTGATCCTATGCAATGTCTATGGCGATAGGCCACGCGTGGAAAATGGAACACCCTGGCCCTGTAACTTATTAAATATACAGTCCAGTCAATTAGTATACACTTTTGTCATATATATATATATCAATTATGCACATACATGCACATACATACATCAAATTAATACTGTTCAATGACCTTGCTTTCCTGGGTCATGTTCCCGGCCTTGCCCTTGCCTTCCAGCCGCTTCACCATTTGAGCCAAGTAATTATAAGTAATTCAAAGACACGGCCCAGGATTCATCGGTCATCAACTTGGCCCCCCTTTCTGTGTGAGCAGAACGCCAAAAGTCTCAAGCAGCGCACGTTTTCTCGCCTGTTTCCAGACGGGGCGGTACTTCTTTGTTTCTAACGCTTGACCTGAGTGGGTAAGCCAGCCGCCTCGAGAGGTGGTTAAGGAATATAACGGTAGATATACCATTCAATATGGTGATCGGGAATGCATAAAGCCAAGGCAAATTGATTAGTATTAATTGCACTGGGACATCCGGGGACAAGTTTGATACACTTAGGACACACAGAAGCACCCCTCTCGAGGGTTCATTGAGAGCACTTGGCCAAGTTGTTTCAGGGTGCCAAATTATTCTTAGACGTATGGAACAAGACCTCGTTTTAACATCCGACTCAACTGCTGCACCCTACAGGGCTTACTTGGTCAAGGCAGCGCTCTGGACGACATGTACATTGTGCGCCAACGCACGGAGGTGAAATTCTCAACATTTTGCACCAAAGGCCAGTCCTCGGCATCCGGTCAAAATGAAGTGAGACAGAATGAACAAACCATTGGGAAATATGCCAAGAGTTCCAACATCAACAAAAGCATGCAAGTGTTTCGTGTCCATGAGGTTTGGCTCCCCATTTCGCAGCTCCCCTGTCCCCAACTCCCAAAACCGCCCACCGTCTCGGCCTAGCGCCGGCGACGGGATCTGGACCGAGACCTGGGTGGAAAAAAAACAATTGCATTTCGCAGTACAACTAGAACGATGGCGATGCCAGGAGCCTGTAGTAGCGTCCTCGCTCCTAGTAGCGATGCCAGGAGCCCCTGTAACG